GAATACTTGTTTGTGTGTGTGTGTATATATATGTATGTGTGTATATATATATATATATATATATATATATATATATATATATATATATATATATAAATATATAAATAAATACACACATACATGCACATATATTTGTGTATATATGTGTATATGTATATTAGTATATATATGTGTGTGTATGTGTATACATGTGTGTATATGTATACATGTATAGATATATGTAATTGTGTGAGAGGAGGTGTGTGTGAGTGTATATGCATATGCATATATATGTATATATGTATGTATATATGTATGTATATATATATGTATATGTATATGTATATGTATATGTATATATATATATATATATACATTATATGTATCTAGTATATATATTATATATATATATATATATACATATATATACATATATGTATGTATGTATGTATATTCTATATATGTGATCATACATTACATATAGGGTATGTTTATATGTATTTGTGTATGTGTATATATAAATTATTGAAACTTGAACCTAGATAAGTTTTATTAAATATGTATAAATATATAAAAAATGTACTTGAATTATGTAGGTCTCTATTATTTGTTTTATTTAATGGTATATTGAATTAATAATTTTTAATATAGTTTATTTCTTTGTCATATGCCATTACAATAATCAAATAATATTTAGGTTTGATGGAAGGGTATTTCTCTCTCATGCTCACCTATAAGTTTCCTTGCATCTATCAGTCCTTTATCTTCCTATAGTCTTGTTAAACACTCGGCCTTACTTCCTTATCCTCTATCTCTTAGTAAACCTTTTATCCCGGTTTCAAAAAGAAAAAAAAAAAAGCTGTACATAAACATGGAAGGAATTTCCCTTTATCCCTCCCTCCCCTTCCCTCCCCTCCCCTCCCCCAGCTTTTTCTCTTTCTAGCCTACTAGACCTGTGTTCACTTCATCCTGACCAAGATCCGGTTAGTTTCGGGTCGCTCCTGGACCTGTCTGGGGTCACTCCCGGTCACTTTATTGCTTCCCACTGCAGACACTCCTCGGTGTTGCTGAGCCTTCACTGGCCGCCACCACTACATGTTTTATCTCTCTTACCTCGGACTGCTGCCATACTGTTTCTAATGCTGAGCCCTTGTCATCATTTTAGAAATGTGATAGTCAGCTGTTCCTGTGTTAGCATGTCTTAAACTGACCTGACTTGGGCTCTCACTGTGTACTATCTCTGTTTCAGTTTCTTCTCTTTCAGCTCCTAATCTGAACTTACCGAACCGTACTGGCGAGAACGCTACACCGACAGGTAGGTTAAATGTGAAGACGCGCACCTGCTATGCTTTGACATTAGGGTGAAAAACCGGGATCCTCCATAACTGTCTTTTCAAGTCTTACATTATTCTCATTTGATAAAAGGCTCTCTTACTTTCTCTACAGGATTATTGATCCTGGTTTTTACATCCTTCCCTTGTCCTTAGTTCTATGCACCAGCTAATTTTTAGAAGAGGAACGTTGAATTCATTAAAGTATCTTTGCAATAGTGAGATGAAATTGTAAAGTTCCCCAAAGAAAAAAAAAATCTTGCATTTAAACTTTGCATTTGTTTACTTAAGAATAAAGAGATGTTTGGTCAGTTAAAGAGTTAAATCTTTTGAAATTGTAGTATATATAAATGATGTTGCAAGAGCATTGATGAACTTAACTGTGGAGTGTTTACACAATATTATTAAAAAAAACAAAAATGCGTAAGTGTATAAGGGGTTTGACGAAGGAAAATGGTGTGTTGCAGGCATGCCGTTTACAGGTATGCCCTTGGCGGGTGTAACTCCAACTGCTGCAGCCCTTGGTGCTGCTGGCATCCGTCTCCCAGGCCAGCCTTCACCCAACTGTGTTCTGCTCGTGTCCAACTTGAATGAAGAGGTCAGTGTAATTGCTTGCTGTTAGAGCAACTTTAGTTTGCCTTAGCTTTTGGAAGCCATGCAGATTACTTCTATTTTAGACATTTTTTGCTCCTATATTGTTTTTTCAGTCTAGCAGAATGTTCAGAAATATAAATATTGTGAGGAAGTTTATATATATATTTATATATAAATAATATATATATACAGATTGAAGCTTATGCTGTGTTCATGAATTCCTTGGTTTGATACTATAAGTGAAACATGTATGTATCAGTTATGCTGTAAAATGTGCTTCACTCGGTACTTTTTGAGTGAAGTGCCAGATGGTGAAAGAAATGGGAGAGTATTGTAGGTTTTACTTAACTTTTTCTTTTCTGAATTGGTATTCACATGGATTATCTGAAAACTATTGTATTTATTATTTCTTCTAAAGTAATAGTAAACATTTGTATTATAATTTCTCTCTTTTCAAACCATCTGTTTTGATATTTTGACAGCTGCATGACCTCTGCTTGGATAATACAGCAGTAATCGAGAGTGCTGCACTGGAGTCTTATTATAGTTTGATCCTCTCAACCCAGTTTGCTCCAATAATTTTCTAGCATTGCAAGCATGTGCTGCTCTATTTATCCTGTTCAGTTCAAATGCTAGCACACTCGTGAGTGATTCAAGCATGGGTCTGCCCAGTGATCACAATTTGTACCTTGTGAAAAGCCATGTATGCTCAACCATTAGCTCATCACCATAGCCAGTAATACCTTCTTATGATTTTGTACAAAGTGGCATACCCATTTTTTTCTGTGCCATATGAATTGTAAAGCAATTCCTCCAATAATTTTCTAGCATTGCAAGCATGTGCTGCTCTATTTATCCTGTTCAGTTCAAATGCTAGCACACTCGTGAGTGATTCAAGCATGGGTCTGCCCAGTGATCACAATTTGTACCTTGTGAAAAGCCATGTATGCTCAACCATTAGCTCATCACCATAGCCAGTAATACCTTCTTATGATTTTGTACAAAGTGGCATACCCATTTTTTTCTGTGCCATATGAATTGTAAAGCATTTTTCCCCAGCATTTATGTTTTAATTTCTCCTAGGATACACTTGATCTGTTATAGATTAAACTGTAAAGTACTTCCCAGCTTACATAATATATATGAGCTACATGCAACTTTTAACTGATGGTTAAATCCTGGTGGATGTGTAATAACCTTGTTTTTCATGTTCTTATTAATACCTGGCTTTAAAAAGAGATGAAAAATTCTTAACTCCTTCTGTAAATATATTTATTTATTTCTTCTCCCACCACCCACCCCCTTTTTCTATTCATTTTTTAAAAACTATTAATACCTCCCCCCCCTCCCAGTCCACCCCCCACCCCCCCATTTCTTTTTTCCAAAGTGGTTATGCATTACCCAGGATTTTTTAATAATAATAAGACATTCTCTGGATCAAGATGCCAGTACTTTTTAATTTTTTTTACCAATCTGGGCAGAAGACAAGGCAAAACATCCCTTTTACATAGTGAACCTTAAATGTGCTGCTGCCTTTCTTTGCCGAGCTGCCATTGGGCTTGATCTTGGTGCCAGAGAGTGGTCCCTGCTGGTCTTTGGCAACACTAGACACTCCACTCTACCTCCAAATGCTGCCAACACTAACCTTCTGACACTCCCACTGCTCCCACTCATTGTTCAAGGACCCGTCTATGGCAGGGACAAGTGTTGGATTTTGTCCTAGAGCTAGTTAGCAAAATTGTTGAGAATGTGTGTGATCCCAGGCCATCAGAATTTATATGGTTGTTATGCGGTCTTGTGGTGAGGTGTGCAGTGTGGTCAGAGAGTGTTGGCAACATAGTTGGTGTTATGTGGTGTCAGTGCCAGCACCAGGCCAGCAACACTACTGCCCCCCTACATTAGCCCACAACCAATGGCCAGAACCTGAGGGTCGTGTCTAACGTGATGTGTTTTATGTTCTCTTGCTGTGGTGCCCCCTGGACTCCATCTTTCTTGCTGGACTGGCCTCTCCTTCGCGACTCTCCTCTACTGTAGATGGTCACGCCTGACGCTCTCTTTACCCTCTTCGGTACGTCACTCAGTCATTGCACGTGCAGCACCCCTGTGTGTTGTACACTTGTTACTTTTTTATAGCATAGAGTATAGAATCCAGTCTCTTTTTATTATCATTCAAGTTGAGAGAAAATCTGGCAAAACTTTTACTACATCCACATTTGTATTGCATCCTTATATAGTATAAATTTTATTTACCTCTTGTGTCATTTTTAAAAGTAGTACTTTATATTAGTTTTAAATGACATTTCCAGCATACTTTAAATGGTTGTAAACCATTTTCCATGTGTTCAGTCCATTATTATAATTTTCCAAGTTCCTTTTTAATGCATGCAGTGTGTGAAAACTGTAAATATGTATCCCTCCCTGAGACCTTGACAATGATATGCACTGTCACTAATTGATTCTTCAGTAGCATTTGTGTTTTACAGGCTTGTTTTTTCATTTTCTCCTCCTCCATTCCCAAATCACAGTGTGGATAAGTATTGCTACTAATAACAAGAACTTTTAATTTATATGTATATAGTAGTATTTGTGTTTGTACTGCCTGACTGCTCCACTGGTTTGCATATTCTGATGGGTTTGGGTTGCAGTCTACTTTTTCTAAATTAACACTGGCTATCAAAGCCGTGAATAATTAAATGTATGTAACACTGTTTACCGTTGCCTCGTTAAGTTTGTGAAAAAACAGGGCGTAATGTTACACTGATGGTGCACTTTTAGCAGTATTTGATGCTACTTCATGTAATGTACATCTTCATATTTTTTTATTTCTTTTTTTTTCTAGTAAATGTTTTTTAATTCTTCAAGGGTTATTGTAAGTCTGTAATTGTCAAAGGTGTTTTCATGTTGATTTTAAATGTGGAGAATGTTTTAGAAGTGTAGCAAAAGCGAAAGACCTCAAAAGAATCGTTGTAAACCATTTTCCATGTGTTCAGTCCATTATTATAATTTTCCAAGTTCCTTTTTAATGCATGCAGTGTGTGAAAACTGTAAATATGTATCCCTCCCTGAGACCTTGACAATGATATGCACTGTCACTAATTGATTCTTCAGTAGCATTTGTGTTTTACAGGCTTGTTTTTTCATTTTCTCCTCCTCCATTCCCAAATCACAGTGTGGATAAGTATTGCTACTAATAACAAGAACTTTTAATTTATATGTATATAGTAGTATTTGTGTTTGTACTGCCTGACTGCTCCACTGGTTTGCATATTCTGATGGGTTTGGGTTGCAGTCTACTTTTTCTAAATTAACACTGGCTATCAAAGCCGTGAATAAATTAAATGTATGTAACACTGTTTACCGTTGCCTCGTTAAGTTTGTGAAAAAACAGGGCGTAATGTTACACTGATGGTGCACTTTTAGCAGTATTTGATGCTACTTCATGTAATGTACATCTTCATATTTTTTTATTTCTTTTTTTTCTAGTAAATGTTTTTTAATTCTTCAAGGGTTATTGTAAGTCTGTAATTGTCAAAGGTGTTTTCATGTTGATTTTAAATGTGGAGAATGTTTTAGAAGTGTAGCAAAAGCGAAAGACCTCAAAAGAAAAAAGTGGGCTCTGTGAAAAGCAGGCAGACAGTTGCAGCGTTGATGTACAGTGGATGGCGTCCTCTGCTCTTCCTATCAGCTGTGTAGTAAGTAACCAACAAACCCTTTGCTGATGTACTTTACAGGAGTGTACGGAGATGTCCAACGTGTCAAGATTCTTTTCAACAAGAAGGATAATGCCTTGGTTCAGATGTCAGAACCTCACCAGACACAGCTTGGTGAGTTTGATTTCTTTTTACTTTTTATATAGGTCATTTTACGAAAATGTTTCTTGATTGTTATATTTATCCAGGAGTGAATTTTTTTCTCTCAAGAATATTATTAGGATTTTGAACAATTTAAATCTTGTAAATGTGAAAATTTTGTGTTCATGAGGCAGTAATGTAAGCACTTTCATATTTCCCTCAAGTAAAGCAAGTGCAATAATGTGAGTGTTCAATTTCAGCCATCTCACACTTGGATAAGATGAAGACTTGGGGCAAGCAGATCCGCGTAACTTTGAGCAAGCACCAAACTGTACAGTTGCCCAAGGAAGGACAGCCTGACGCTGGACTGACCAAGGACTACAGTAACTCTCCTCTTCACCGCTTCAAGAAGCCTGGTTCCAAGAACTACCAGGTAAGTTCATCAGTTATAAACTTATAAACCTTCGAAAAGCAGATGGATTATGAGAGGTTTCAATTCTGTGACAGGAGCTAGTGATCATAAATTAACCACATTTTATTTCCAGAACATCTACCCACCCAGTGCTACCCTGCATTTGTCCAACATCCCACCCACTGTTGATGAGGAACAGATAAAGGATGCCTTTGCTCATGCCGGAGCAAATGTTAAGGCATTCAAGTTCTTCCCGTAAGTCTTTGGAAGTAGTTTTGCTGTGTGGATAACAAAAGAGATTTTTCATATTATTGAGGTCTTCTTTCAATCAAAATACTTAATATGGTCTTTTCTCACTTACAGCAAGGACAGGAAGATGGCACTGATACAGCTGGGTTCTGTAGAAGAGGCCATTGCAGCTCTCATTGTAAGTATCAGCATGAATATGAGGAATTGTTAAAGATATTCAGTTGTTTGAAATAACATGACACTAGATATTACACTGTAGATGTAAGTGATGAAACCAGGTCCACAGGGTTGATTTTATTTATTATTTATTTATCTATTTATTTTTATTATTATTTTATTGTTTTTATTTTTTCCTCCTTTTACCAATTCACTCCAACCCCACAGAAAATGCACAACTTCCAACTGAGCGATTCCTCCCACTTGCGTGTGAGCTTCAGCAAGAGCACCATCTAGACGGCCCAGCCCACACAGCGGGTTGAGGGCCCTGGGATCTACACCTGATGGGGCTCGGTACCTAGGGCTGACGAGACTCTGGGAGGGAAGCAGCCTTAAGGAAGAAGAATAAGAATCCCAGGGATGGACGATCCCAATTGTCAGGAACCTTCTGGGAACTGGCACTTTTTTACCTTAGGGCATGGCATTTTTATTAATATAATTATACCTAGCTTAACCAAATGTGTTACACTATAAGGAGGCAGGACCTAGAGATATTTACGTACAAGTGAGAGAGATGATAATTGAGCTGAATTCAGGAAGATGCAATTTAACTAAAGGAACTCAATATTGGAGTTTATTTTTATTTTTTGTACCCATAAATGGTTTGGGTAGTCAAGTAGCCAATACCTGTGTACATTTTGCTACAAGTAAATTCTGCCGGACAGCCTGAATGTCTTTTGTATGTAAGGTGAAGGTTTTCACAGTATTAGGGGTGGTCTTGCCCCAAACGTGGGTGAGAAAAGGCCTCTGGTACTAGTATTATTCGCAGTGGTTCCTCGTGCTCTCTGAGATTGCCAAGGACTTAATGTTAAAACCTCAGCAAGCATGAGCCAGAATTAATTCTTTTTAAACCATGGTAGCTCTTTTTATTTTAAGTGTTTTGCAAGTGATACATGTTTAGAGCTAGATTGTGTAAGTATAATTGAAAATAGAGGAGAAGAGATGAGGCTAAATTATTATTAATGGATGGTAGCCATTGAAATTCTCACACAATTCATATTTTTTGGACAAAATGGAGGAACTATAATAGAAGTGTTAATATGGTAATTTATCTCACAATGTCAGTGTTATGAAAGCATATATTTTTGCATTTTTGACGTCTCCAAAGTGTAAACTGATATCAATCCTTTTCTTGATCAACTCTTCCGTCTAGGATTTTTCTCTTGATCATTCCAACTTAAAAGTCTTCTTTACCATTTGCTCGATGATTCCAATGTTTGTAAGGTAGGCAGACAGGGGCTGTGGTTGTTGTGCCCAGTTTTAACACAAGCACTGATTGGAACAGCTGATGCCAATTACAATTGTCCAACTGTACCTTTAGCAGCCTGTGGAACCAAGATCAGTGATTTTAAATAAAGTGGGTTATATTTTCCCGTGTATGGGTAACCAGAGGAGACTGCAGTTGTAGCCATGAGCATAGGTGGCATAGCATAGACTACTGTCAGGTCAACAATGGGAATTAGCCCGAGGATGACCCTAGGGATTCCAGAGGTATATCTAAATTCACGTAGGTTTATCTTGTGCTAACCATCTGGGTGTTTGTGAGGTGACAATAATGTTTGCCAGGCGTAGCATGTTAGCTAAGGGCAGTGAGTGGACTGTACCTGAGCGGGCACCTCCTCCACCCCTCTCTGCCACCTGGCCAGTCTGTGGTTGGGCTCTCCCACCCATGTTGTGGCATTCATTTATTGTTGTTCAGTGTATGTAGCCAATAGGAAATTTGATTAGCTTTTATTAATGATGATATACAAAGTATTATTTGTTATTTATCTAAAAAGAACTAAAAAAAAAAGGCAAGAAGCACAAAGGTTGAGCCATGCACCCAGGAAGTTGGCAGTATCTCATAGCTGGTTGCTGGAGGGCAAGGCAGTGCACTGTAGCATTCCCATCATCACTGGCCAGCCATATGCTTCGTCACCCCCTTGCCAGGAGGGGGGGGGGGCTGTACCTGTACTCTCTCTTCATGCATACCCTGAGCACGGTGATTGCTAAGTTATTTTCTCCTGGATCTGTCACATACCAGTATTTATACAGGGCTTCAAATTAGCTGAAGGAAGTGCCCCTGCCCCCCCCGACAACCCAACACTAGTGTCCCATCTGTCTGAAACTTGCGACAAGACAATCCCAGAAAAAACTCGTTAGGCATCTAGTGTGGTACACGAGGTCTACACAATTACTTAAGACCTTGACGTGAGTTATTGACTCATAACTTCGGGCACGTGTTTGCCAAGTAGTATATAGTTTGAAGTATTTTTTTGGTAAAGCTGATTAGGAGCTTGGGTTAGAGTGCTCTTTTAAGATCTTTGAGCAACACCAGATCAACTGCTAAATTGGACCACACTGGGAAGGCTAGTAAACACTAATTTGCACATATCAGTTTCAGAGACTATTTTTGTACAACTGTGGTGCCTTTCTATGTGATATTCACAGTGTGGCACACGTCGGTCATTGGTCAGCTCGGACATATTCACTGATGTGGTAGCGTGAGAAAAATGTTGTACCCTGTACTCTCAGCTTAGAACTGCTGCGTCCTTGTATTCACCAATTCGACCTACTCCAACTTCCGTGGGTGCAGTCAAGCAACTATTTTTACATCTACATGTGTAGAACTTGTATTTCCTGTTTCAATCACGTGTATGTCATGATGAAAGTAAAAGAACATCATCCTCTTTCTCCATTTTAGAAGATTCAATCTAGCTGACGGTCTCTTTCTCAAGTTAAACTCAAGGGTCTCACTGGTTCATGCTAATTCACTTTCCCTTTGAGGCGTCACTCGTTTAGCGCCAGCCCTCTTCCCACGACATCCTAAAGGCCACAGCCCAGTTGATCCGTTTGAATAAAGGAGGGTTCAGCTGCTTGCCTGCAAATGCAACCTCTCCCAAGAATGGCCACTAACATGACATCCACTGAGCTGTTTCAAATAATCTCTGAAACACTTGAGAAAAAGGCCTATAAGTTTTGTGCCTCATACTTGTATTTGGAGGGAACAAAGTACCTTTACATTACTCTTCTAATATTGTAATATTTCTTAGAAGTGTGTAATTTTCTCTTTTCCCACTGCTTTGATGTAACCAACTTGTATACTTACCTATCTATTGTATCTATAATTACCATTCTGAAGCGCTTGCCAGGTTTTGCCCAGTCTCTGCATTGTAATCGGCATTTTGTAGTATCTTATGAGCACAAAGTTAACAGTCCAAAGTAAAGACAAAAAAAAACAAAAACAAAAAAAAAAAACAATTGGCAAATACATTAGAAAGGAAACGTTAATAATAATAATAGTACTGAAAGAGGTTTTGGATTTACACAAAGCAGTAGGGCAGGAACCTGGTTAATCCCCGCATGACATCTAATGAAACAACAGTTGCAGTTCTTTCTTTTGGAACTTGCGGATTAAAAAGGAAAAAACCTCTGGAGGGATCACCATCGCCAGAAAGACAGCTGAGTTGTGCCTTGACCAGCTTTGCAGCATCTTTTTACTCGTCAGTGCTCGCTCGCTCGCTCATCAGACCCACCTCTCCTCCTCTTCCTGGCTGTCAGGGCATAGATCTTAAAAATGGAAATAAATGCGGCACCCTTGGAGAATACAAGCGCTTTATAGCACTGAAGAACAAATTTTAGCCCAGGACAGATCAGGTCTTGCATAGGGAGGGGTAGGCATAGCTAAGGGTAGGGTGCTAGACCAATTCTCTTATTGCACCTTCTTTGGTAAGGCCCACAATAACTTCATGTATTAACCTGTATTCTTGAAATCCAAATGGTTTTAAATTAATTGTTTTTATTGTGAATGTGGAAATGATGAGTGTTCATGCATATTTTCTGCATCTTATTCCAGAATGATATGAATCTGTCTATTTTGTGTTGACATTGCTAGCTCCATTATGGACTGTCTGGTAATAGACCGGCAGACCCATATTTGTCTATGTTGGATGGATCTGAGCAACATGAGCCAGGTACTGTGTTTAAGCATTATCATTTTGTAATAAATATGTATTTCGATAGTTTTGCATATCACTACGTCCTTCTGGTAGGGTGGGCTTTAAAAAACTGCCCAATATGCGAAGTCTGTGCGATGGTGTTCTTCTAAAAGCTACAACAAAGGTTATTGATTGGCTGCACTTCCAGTAGCTTTGATCGCTCTTTATGGTTGACTCATTGTTTGTGTTTAGGTTAGAGGCTATTTTGTAAGGTCAGGTTTATTAACACTAATGCCTACTACTCTATGCTACTGCTGTACTCTCTCTGTAGCCCTCGAGTTACTACTGTACTTCTCTCTCTCTTTCACATCATCATTCGAACTATACTATTCTTTATTTTCGGATAAGATTAAATATTTTCTAAAAGTATCTCTTGCCACTACTGCTCTACGATTGTGTTAGAGCTCTTGGTACCTCATCTTTCGGCCCCTGAAAGTCCTGCTCTCTCTCTCTTCTCTCTCTCTTCTTTTACTAATGCTAGGTCAGTTTAGGTCATGCTAGGCTACTAACCCTTGTGTATGTATTTATATATGGGTGTGCGTGCCTGCGTTAACAGATACATACATATTCGTGTATAGACACATTGCATATTCCAGTTTTATGTATTGTGTGTATATATGCACATGTATATAATTACATAAGCGCGCATATATATTTCATACATACACATAAACATGCACATACACAAATGTTTGTATGTGTATGCAATGTATGATGATGATCTTCCTTTTCATATATGTATACAATATCTTATTTTGCTCTCAGACTGTCATGCTTTGCTCTATTGCATTTGTTCCTTGGTTTGAGGAGTGAGTTTGACTGATTCACATAATCATGACATCTTGAGAAACTTTTTTTCCTTTGTTAATTAGAAGACTTTACTTTTTTTGGCGATGTCCTTTGGATAATTGGCAAAGATTTTGTAGCCAATGGAGCAAGGGCCGCCATGTTAGTTCCCTAGTGTCACCTGGCCATGTCTCTAGAACACTTGCCACTATCCTGCCTCCTGTACCAGCCGTATCTACTACCACTTGATCCTGCATACATTTCTCTATATGTGTTTGTAAATGTACCACTCTCGTGTACTACTACTTGGTGTTAGTCATATCACTGTTCCATTCTACTACTACTACTACTACTATTACTACTACTACTACTACTACTACTCAGCTGTATTTGTATTTCATTGTAGAGGTGCTTGGTTGACCACATAAAGCCTACATATCTACTCTAATTCTTGTTCTTTTTTCCACCCTTCCTTCAGACACCAGTTTCTCAAGTGGCCATCTGTTTTCCTGATAACAGCTATGAATCTCCATACACGGCAGCCTCACAATATTGGCGATAATTCTGATGTGTTGATATTGTGAGGGATTTTCTTATACCTTTTTGTATAGGCCTTATTATCCTTTTTCGCTGCTTGAGTTGGGCTATATATATGGCAGTCTTCTTGTATGCACTCATAGAATCTGCTCTCTTCACATAACAAGAACCACCATTTTGATTTCCATCACACGCAGATTATTATCGTTACTCGTGCCGAAGAAGCGCATACTGCGACGATTTATTTAGTATATAGTTATAATGCCGTTATTTATAAGAATGAGAATTTTTTAAATTGTCACTATACAGTTATCAGTATTAGCTTGTATTATTGTCATAGAAAGAAAGATGGTAATCACTAGTCCTAAAATCATTTACTTAAAACTTCAAAATATTGATAAGATTCAATGTGAACATTATTCCAAGGTTTTGATAAAATTTTGCAGGGAGCTCTCTCCTGCTTTACTAAATTCAGAAATGGCGTAACGAACGGAGGCACTGACGCTTCAAGAGTAATCCTACTTGTTTACAAAACTCTTCTCCTTCACTCTTCCTCCTTGCTGGTTCCTTTCTAGTACTTCATGAAATTTTCTGAAAGATCTAGAGCTGTGTAGTTAATTGAGATATGACATTTTCAGCTTTGTGCATCTACCTCTGAAGATCGGACATCAGTGAAGAAAATTAGAACATTTCATATAGAGTTAAATAGTAAAAGTGGCAGACCGCACAAACGACAGAGAACAACACGCATGTAGGGCATGTCTGAATGAAACCTTCCTTGTTAAACTTTCGATAGAACATGTTAGACCCAAGATGTCAGTTATAATGCAGTAAAAACATGATAATGAGCAGCTAGGGGAGTTTACTACATATAATTTTAGAAGACTAGTTTGCAAGAAGTGTAAATTTATTTATTTACGCAGACGGATTACACAGTACAAAAGCTTCCGTTAATGGAGGGAGGAATAGTTTTAGCAATTTCTACTTACAAAAAAAAAAAATTATGCTAAGCTGAACCATGAATATAAAAGTTTTGCAACTAGAGAAGCAAGTGAAGTCTTGGCAAATGATAGATATTGTGAAAACCAAATGTCTCATCGTACTACTTAACGTTTTACACACGTGTTTGGAGATTTCCCAAACAGTGATAACTTGACCACACCACTTTTTTTTGGGGGGGGGGGGGGGGATGGGACACCACATTTAAAGTACTTGAAAAGGAGTTGTTTGCATACATAATTAGGTTATTCATTTACCAGTTGTATTTTCAAGTACAAGATTTTATAACACATCACCATTGGGTGAGAATATGCAGAGGACTTCAGTGACATGCAATCAACTATAATGTCGCCATGGTGGTTTTATATATTTAGAAAAAAAACTCAACAGGACTTGTTTATTAAATCAACAGGAGTCCCAAGAAGCATGATGCATAACCATTCATTTCTAATATTCAAAATGTCAAAAGCTGAATGTTTATATTTTGCAGATCTGTTAGTCGTTTAGTCAAACTATTTGAATCTCATATCAGGTCCCATTGAGAAACTGTCGGCATCCTTCAATTTCCATTTTTCATAAGCTTATGTATAAAGATAGTTAAAAAAATAAAAAAGCGTATAGAGACTAGAGTAATGCAGTTACAAGGTGATGCAGACAGATTTCTTACTAATGGAGTTGAATTAATTGAAATTTGTGTTGCAGATTGCGAAATGTTGAACAGCTATACTATATACTATTTACGAACTGACATTCACTTGGGTAGGTTTAAAAGAAACAAGTATTTATTACCGTAAGAGACTATTTATTGTACAGCATATAAATCGGTATCAACTTGTATTATGAATGCTGCTCAGTGCATGAACAGTGAATTAGGAAAGTTTAACAAATTTACTTCGAAATAATCATAGTTAATAACCACTATGAAAACAGTACAAATCTCATGGTTGTCAACTCTCCGAATCAGACACAAATTACAAACAATGATATAAAGTAAATAATAAAGATTTCCTGTATGATCATTCTTGATTGTAATGTATTGCGCTCACCATGCGTGATGTGATTTTTTCCCCAAAAAAACATAAAGACAGGAATAAGAACAAAAACGGAATCTCATTTCGCCACTGAAAGGTCTTCTAAAATATTCCATGTTTTGATTATAATTAAATGTCTGAGTGCATTTAAGTCTATGAAGGAATTGCGTTATATGTTAAGTATACCGTAGTGATATAATGACTAAAAGCTGCCAAGGGTGACCAGATTTTTTGAAACATGATAGGGGAAAAATCTCCCTCTTCGGTGCAAGACGAAATATAGTTTAAACAGTAACAAATCATCAATGGAAATGCCTATCAAAACCAAGAAAATAGACAATCACTGTCACTGATGAAAAAATTGATAGTATAAGAAAAGAATTTAGACATCAAAATGTATGTCTGTTCAATATACATTCCATCACATTTTTAATCACATTTTGGGATTCTTTCAGGTATACTTGGATATAAGTGAATAAAAACAACAAAACCTGATAAGATTACACACATTTACACACTTCTATCGCATTTCCCGAAATTCTCCACGGGAATTACATAAACATTTTTTTATATTTCCATTGCATTTTACTGGATGTGATTTGTCCACTATGTGTAGATAAAAAAGAGGAGAGTAAATGTTTGATACCATATCTGTTTACTTTTTCTCCTAAAGTTGAAGCCAAAATGAATAATAAGGTAAACATAATCAAGGAAAAAGGGAAATATTAGAAATTACACAAGGATTTGCATTATCAGAAATCCTGTGAGACCGCTGCAAATATGCCACTCCTACAGCCGTATATTCTCTCATACCCCAGAGAAGACAGTCAAGTACGTACTCTCCATGAACAACAGGGAACTTAGCAAGCAACAGAGAAAGGAACGCATACACAACACAACAAAGATGCGCAGGCATATAACACCACTGGGCATTTTTGTATCCTTACTGAAATCACTTGACGGAGACATTAAAGAAAGTGGAACACAGCAAAGGGGCCTTGTATCCTGCTGAGAACATTGGAAACCCCAGACGCTGAAAGGTCTGGAACACGAACACGTATATATATGACTATTTTTTTTCTAAGACTACATCCCCCTAATTCTATGCTCGTGGGGGGAGCTTACCATAACCTTCAGAATACTCTGTCTAGTCCAGCCAAATGGGATCGATTTTTCGTGATCCCGACTTCAGCCCTTTACTCTGTCAACACTCCTTTTACAGCAATGTCTTCAAGAACAAGTGGGCAAGTTTCCCTCCGCCCCGATCGTTCCCGCCTTGTCAGTTACATCAGAATCCCAAGCTAAAGCATTATTAACCCTAACTGACTTCTGACAAATTCATTCTTGCTCAGCCTCATCCCTACTTATACTGGAACCGTCTCCATATCCCAGGAGCCAGGGAGATGTCTGGCCTCACTTGACGTGAAGCCAGACAAGCACGCAGACGAAGTTTTTCTCTTCCTCCCTACTTTAGTACGGTCTTTCGCTCTGTCCCCCACATACGAAAACCTTTGTTTCTCAGACCTCTCCAACCAACTCCACTTCAGAAACTATCGAAGACATTCAAAATTATCTAATCATGACCCAAAATAACATGCCAACACTGCATCCATTGTCCAGCCTCTTTGCTCCCATACCCCTCTACACTCAACGTAACTGCCGACATCCATCCTCCTCCTATTCATGTTTCTCCTACATCTCTTCCTCCCATTCCCTCCCAACACATCCCATTTCCCCCTGCTTCAGTTGCATCATCTCCCCTTCCATTCCGACTATCCCTTTCACTTCCTCCTGAATACACATGTGACTGTCACAACAACCCCCTTCCCTGGACTCGCTTCCTCCTGACTTTTCTCCTGAAACCATGATCTAATCCCCCTTAACCGCCTTTTCCCCTTTTGCTAATCCATACCTTACCCTCTGGAAATCCTTGCAGAATCCCACACTTCTTCCATAACAATTTTAATATTATCACCCTTTGCTCCAAACCTTAGGTCATTTACTGACCCTCTCTGTCCTCACCCCTATTTGCTCGTTTCACCGCCATACTATTCTGAACTGCTATATGACGTTTAGCACATTTAATTATCAATAAACTAAATTACATGTACTCAACACACACTCATTGACAAATCACAAAAGAACGTCGAACATGTGAAATAAACCCAAACAAAACATCTCCTGGTCTGTATACACAATTTACAACTAACGTGAACAAATCGCACAGTCCAGACAGACTGCCATTCTCACATAACATGGTTTTCAGCCAAAACGGTAATACAATTCGCAAAATGCGATAATTCCACGTGTGATGTCTAACAGGTACGCCCTATATTACATGACTGGCAAAACCTTCGACAAAACCCTACATAAAAAAAAACAAACCTTTGATTCTCAGACCTTTCCAATCAACTCCACTTCAGAAACTCCAGCTGTAGTATAAAGTAATTTCATACTATAATAAGAAATTACTTCACTGGATCTTTACTGGTGTCACATGTGACCTTCATCTATTTACTCAGTTATTTTAGTATCCTTTATCAATATCGGTTTCCCTCTTAGATCAATCAAAAGAATCGGCGCTTAAACTTCAATAAAATAACCTAGAGGAAAAGGGTATACAGACCGGATAAATGTTAAAAAAAAGAATATTTCTATATCATTAACTCATTTCAGGAGCCTAAATGCATCGTCTACCATTACTTCAATGATTCAATACAGAAATTCAGAATACGTTAGGTCCAATTACATCCGACCTTCATATTCTCAAAATTTATCACAAAGTTAATCATACAAACTTTTTTTCCCCGGGAAGCACCTACATAACTGTAACCCCGAAAAAAACTGATCATGCTTAACTATGCCACTTAACCTGAGCAGGTATGAGCCCCGTTTTCGAAACTGACGCATCGAAATGTTAGTTCAATTAGATGCAATTCTGTGGTTTGGTTCGATATAACGCTCATAAAAGACTTTCGGTCTAGTTGCAGTAAGCGCAAGAAACTCTATTATTGAGTTTTTTGCGCTTACTGCAACAATAGATGAAAAATATTTACGGCCCCTTGTGGAGTCCGGCCTCGCCTACCTTTTCCTAATGGTGGCCCTGATCCTACAGAATGGGACGTGTAGTAACAACAATAAATTTTAACAAGTAAACACCAAAGTTTGTAAAATTCGTTGCAAACAACACACAAAGCACCTGTTAAACAAAGAGTACAACCCTACAAACCATGTATAAAACGACAAACAGTCACGAAATGTAGAAAAAAACTGCTATACGTACACCCTGACAACAGAAGCAGATGCATAAATATACCACAAGCAACACTAACGAGACTCCCATATACTATTCCTCTACTTTTTCGACTACTAAAAACATAGATTAGTAATAAAAGGGAAGGCCATATGATGCTACAGTTGCTACTACTGATTTTTGTAGATGATTTATCAATCTATCATTGTTACAACTTTTGCATTTCTAAAGGTAGCTTTTGACAATTATTTTTTATCCTTTATTATCATGTTTTCTCTTCTTAACTGATTATTTAACTTTGAGCTAATGCCATCTTATAGGTCAGTAATAAAATATGAAGTAATGTCACCTTGAACACTTCCTTGAACTTAAGAAATTTGAAATAAAACTCCTATCTATACATTATTAATTTCTTACACGTAATCTGTCATAGATGTCATAGATTTATCATAGATATATGAAAATGAAATTGTTTTTATAGCGTTTTTATAAACTGAATGCACAAACCCCCTTGTTTGTAAGATCCAGAACTGGTTGTTCTACCTGTCCACACGCCATAAAACAATCAAATTTTGCTGGGTGCCCAGCCATGTTGGAATCCCCGGCAATGAACAGGCAGATACACTAGCACGCCACGCTGCTATGTCCACATCATACCAACCACGCTTCTCACGTATCCCAGCCACGGATTATTACCCACACTTTAAGACCTTCTTGTATAAACGATGGCAATCTTTCTGGTCAAGCCTCCACACTAATAAATTACATTCTGTAAAACTATCAATCTCCTCCTGGTCAGCTCCATTTCATCGGAACAGACGTTGGGAGACTGCTCTCGCCCGCTTACGCATTGGCCACACCCGTCTAACACACTCCTATCTGATGTCACAATCTGATCCACCCCTATGTTCCTTATGTAATGTTCCCCTTTCAATCGTACACATCCTATTGTCGTGTCCACGTTTTGAAGCAGCCCGTACCTCTGCTTTCCCCCACCTATCCTCCCTTCACCGACCTCCCAACCTATCAGACATCCTCACAGAATCCCACACTTTCTGCATCAACAACCTGTTCTCTTTCCTCAAACGCATACATATCCTTTATCTAATTTAACACCCGACCTTAACCCTTTAACTCACCAATTCCTTTGCCCAGCTTAGACAACTAATCACTAACTCAACCACCTTTCACTAACATTAACTATAGTGCTACATGACCTTAGATGTCTAGCACATTTATCTTGCTTTTAACCATTAACCATTAACCATTAACCATAAACTGAATGCAGAATAAAGTGGAGTTTTGAAATGAACCTAATTTAAAGTAGCCTAGCCGATTACAGTAGTCTAGTCATATCATTCCTAACATTATATATCCTATCCTAATCCATCCCATCTTCTCCTATTCCTCTCTTCGCTCCTTTCATCTCCTCTCCTCTCATTATCTCTCCTATCTTTTTGTCGCATCCTTTTATGCCTTATAATAGGGTACCCAAAGTAATCATAGAAAACGATACTCGGGGACCACAAACTATAGTATAATCTCAAACGTTTTATTTTTCATACCCATGATATAATTTTATGACACTTCCTTCGACATTTGAATTAAAATACAAGAATTATATCATGATTTCAAACAAGGATTTTAATGACCAATAAATTATATTTATAAACATCCTCCCTAACTTATCACAACAGTGAAGATAACCGGCTATATTACCAATGGAAAGAATTAATCACTGCTTTTACTAATTTCGTCTTATGAATACGCTTTCATTCTAAAATCTATTTTAAAAATGTATTTGTATGAAATGAATAAATATTCCCTATCGCACATAAAAAAAAATATACATATATATTATTTTCACCTAATAAGCCCCCCCCCCCTCCTTTCACGGAAAAAAATATTTTTTTTTCTCTCTCTCTAGGAAATACAAGTACAGATTCCAAAAGAATATATCATACAACATTATTCCCCCCCCTTCAACAAAATAACCACCTGCATATATATAATTAAAGAAAAAAAAGAGGTTATTTTCACCGGCTGGGAATCATGGCGGCGAGGAAACTGGTGAGCAGAAATATCCGAGATTTTTTCCCTTTTTTGCCGGGTTGGAGATCGCGAAATTAATGCTGAATATCATAATCAAGATTGTGAAGTATTGTAGTTCTCGGGAATATGTTTTTTTTAGTGTTTTTAGTGTTTTTTAGCTTCATGGAGTAGCAGAAATACGGACTTTGTGTAACTAGATACATTTATCTATTTCGTATTAAGTTCCAAATAAATAATAAAAACACATTACAAGAAAGACAAAACCACATAAAAAGGATATATAATTTACGTTAACCGAAACACATAAGTATAGACACCTAGCGCACACCATAAAAAAAAAAAAAAAAATCCAAAAAAGACGAATTTCTCCAACGAAGGTAATTGACCCGTTAATTAGAGAGAGAATTCCAAATTACGGACAAAATGTAGTATAAAGAAGTGGCAGAATTGGGTAATAAAACCTACATGAAATGAGAGAACAATACAAATCAAGACAAAGTTCTTCTATGGCAATATGTGTGCAAATACTTCCCTAGGGTGTTATACGTAAAAGAAAAGAGAAGATATCCCAATTTTTGGCAAAGTCGCTCATCTTTACATTGCGAGGGTGAATTCTAGGCCTATATATTACCACGGTGTCCAGAATATATGCCACTGTGTTAGGCTAGGTTGGGTGTTGGGTTTGGACGTTTTAACAACCACTGGAGTCCTGTTTTACCCAATAATTTCCTTGATACTTCATGCCCTCCCCTGCTATCGGGACTAACAGATCAAGATTGTCGATGGAGATGGTGATCATATCTCCTCAACGATTCATTTGCTCAAGGAACAATGCCTAGAATCGTTGAAAGCAGTGGATTTCATGCAGAAAAATATCAAAATTGTTTCAAAAGTAACCCAGTTCCCTCTTCTACATATTGACCAGGGGGATCTCTCTTCTTTTGTGTATGTCATCCTTGGGAAGCATTTGCACACACATTGTCATAGAAGAACTTTGTCTTGGTTTGTATTCTTTCATTTCATGTAGGTTTTATTACCCAACTCTGCCACTACTTAATACTACATATTGTCCCTTTTTTTTTTTAAACAATCTCAAGTTCCTTAACTGACCTCGAAATACATAGCAAGAAAGAGCTGAAACCCAGGAGCATGGAGTAAACTTAGGCTGCGTGTGTTGCGTTCTTTGGTCTTTTTCCTTTACTGTGTTCGCCGACTATTTCTTTTACTGGTGACTGTAACTTTTTGTCCTCTTCAAGAATGTCGTGTTAACCCAGGCTCTCTGCTTCCATACTGCAAAGATGAACACATAATACTAATAAGCGAGGAAATTAATTTGATTAAAATTACAAAATATTCGCTGGCAAGTAAGATTTGGTTGATTGGTTTAGTTTTTTTGTAGCTTTCTTACGGCATCTTAAAACCTATCAAATTTTATGTTTTTATATGTATGCAGTAACCCAGAGCAAAATGAAGCTGATATTCTCGTAGAGGAGTAAAAGTTATTTTCACCAGTATAAGAAATCATCTGCAGACATGAATGGTGATGCCACAATTGAAGTAAAAGCTTATGGAATGTACTACTCAAAGCCTATGTCCATTTGGTGCTCCTGAATTTCAGCAAATGAAACTCTGAAGCTGAAAATTATGTTTACTGAGGGGAAACTATGTTTTACCTATGGGAAGTGCCCTAAGGGTACACCCAGTCACAAAAACTTAGATGGTTGAATAAATTTTGTGACGGAACTATTATAAAGATATTACCCAAATTTTATAGCGGCAAACTCTTATCAATGTCTTCTAATTAGATATAACAATAATCAGTAGAAATAATAACGAAGCTTAATATGAAAGTAAAATTTTCAGTAACTTGCACAGTAACTTGGGACAGAATGCAGCGAGGGAGACTTACCTTCCTGGGTCATAACACCATTCACAAGGCACATAACTTTGACCTGTTTTGGCTTTATCTTGGTCAGATGTGATGGAGCTTTTGTGTTCCAGGCAGGGTTTAGGGGATGGCAGGCCCTTATAATGACAGAAATAGGCCTATCCAAATACAGCATAATCTAATTCTGCAGCTGTTCTTGTTCCTACCCTTTCCTTCACCCAAAACTTCAAATTCCTTTGAGTGCTTCAAGACTGTTAGCTGAAATGGGAGGGGGGGTCTACATCATCACCAGTCTACTGTTCTGACTTTGCTTGTAAAACAAGGGTTGTCATTCATGTGGAAGCACAGACCCATTTGTTATGGCACCAGGTAAAAGGTACTTTTTCCTTCACTTGGTATTTAGTTTTATGTCATTGAAAACATAACTTGGTGTAGCTTATGTTCAAAAGTTTAAAGAATAATAATGACCTAAAATTATCATTTACTTCTTATGCTAAGATTGTAATATCAACAACCAGTTCTTCTAAAATCTTGTCATATCCATTCTTCAGTATAGAAATGCTTGTCTTTCATAGAGAGGGCAGGAGAAAAAGGAATAGATTAAGGAAATGAAAAAGTGAGAAATTTGGAGGGGGGAAAAAAAAAAATCTGGCCCATTGCCGATCACATTATGAAGATTTAATTTACTCTTTATTTGCTTGGAACACTTTTCATTACCCATCAGACCATAGTTGACCCCATGGTTTATGTGAAAGTCAAGGAGTCAGATGAGGACCTTATTCTTCCTCATACCTCTTACCATGAATTAATATCTCTTACATAACAATTACATCTTTTTCAGACAACTGGATTGACTGGTTTGGCTGTGGCTACCAGTCCGCATCATACATTGGGCGTTCTTTATGGCAAGATCCTGAGATGCTTGCAGAAGATGCCACCGGATTCTTCCTACCGCCAGTACACAGAGCAGATTGTAAGCGAGAGGAATAACCACGTGAAAACGGTACGTGAGCTTTTTGTGGTTTCAGGAGTTATCAAAAGACATATTGAGTGTATTGTAGAGGTAAGATTGGTTGGTTTTGTATGTGAATGTAATGAGAAGGATTGCAAAATGGTTATTTAGTAGTTGATTTTATTTTACCATAATATGGGTTACTGGTCTGTTCATCAGGTTGTCTTGCTTGTGGGTCTGTTAAAATATATTGTCATGCTGTGTAGTTTCATCCTGGGAAAATAAATGGTTTGTATTGAGGTGGGTCAATATAATAAATTTCAACAGCTAGTTTATGAATTTAGATTTTACAGAATCCCCTTTTCTTTCTTTACTGTATTTTCAGTAAATATCCTATTTGACCTCAATCCTCTTCAAAAAAGCAAATTCAAATTGTTTGGAGAAAATCAGTAGAAATTTGTAGATAGATGTTTGTCTTCAGATAAATAACACACAACCACCTAAAGGGATCAAATGAGTTGGTCACTTAGCAGAGGGGGTGATAATCAAAACAAAAGTGTAAACACGTATTAGTGTGTTCATTATTTGTTCATAAGGGAAGTCACACAAAGTACGTCCTCTGTTGGTTGCTTGAAATAGGTAGGATTTAAAGTTGGTTATTAGGGGGAAACTAATGTGTGTGTGGAAAATGTGCAGTATAGTATGGTAATACTCATTAAGATGATTCTGTGATTTTTTTTTTTTTTTTTTTTCTTCCCCTTTTTTTTGGGGGGGGGGGGGGGGGGGGGTTGGTTCACGTGTACCAGGTTTTACTTTGAAAGATTAGGAGATTTTAGGTAAAATTTTAGGTAGGACTTCATGATTACATAGTATTATAAACAAGCAATTTAATAATGACAAATAAATAATCAGAGGAAAACTCTGGCTTTGAATTCTGTATGAATTCAAGGCCAGAAAAGAAAAAGGATATTCTTCTTATTTTTATGATAACTTTTGGTTTATTTTATCACCAGTGATGTCATGTCCATACTTGCCATGCCCACTGCAAGATTGATTTAATAATTTGTTTTTACCTATAGATGGCTCCACAAGTACTAAGTCACCAATGAGCTTATTACTATCACTACCAGTCTTACCTCTTTACCCTTTTCCTTGATTTTCAAAAATATTTTTCCTCCACAAACTCGAGGAAAGCTGAAGTCAGGTGAGGTCACAAGGTCTACTTATTGACTCCTTTGTGGCTAAGCACTTGCAGAGCCATCTATGTGCAGAGACATTTCACAAAACAATACTGCAGTGGACACCTTTTCCTGGTGATGGTGGGTCAAGCATAGAGATTCATTGATAATTAATTAAAAATTTTCCCAACCTTTGTAATACCAGTTTACATTTTTTGCTTGTGCTTAAAGGCCTGTCCAGATGAGCAGTGCAATTACTTGCCTGTGAATATTATCCATGTAGCTGGGTTGATGAAGTGGCAGAGGCTTTCTGGATAATGCCAGAAAATATTGTAGAGCAAAATAATTGCTTTGTGTGTAAGGTAAAAAAAAAAAAAAAGTTGGCTCAATAATAGATGTTTATAGAAGGCACACAATAGTATTTCAGGAATTACAACATGGCCACAAGCAAGATTTCAGAAAATAGATAATGAGTGTAATAACTTTATCCTAATTAGCAAAAGGTCCAACCATATGTAGGAAAAAAGCATGAGAAACTGTATATCAGCAGAAGCTAAAGCCTGGCTATGTGACCTGCTTTTCTGGACATACCTTAAGAATCCTTGTATAATGTAATCAAATATGTTTCTAGTCTGATGGTTTATGTAATGGCATTATGATTATTCATGCTGTCATGGTTTAACCCTTCTGTATTTATGTTGTGGCTTTTTCCTTTTAACCTTAACAGACCTGTACTTGATTTGAACAACCTCTCATGTGCTTCTTTGTCCACAGGAGCCAGATGTGACAAAATTGGAGAAAGTAATCAACGCTGGCCAGATCGAGGAAGTAATTGTGCAAGCCGAGAAGGAACTGTCGCTGGCACGAAAGATGTTGGAGTGGAAAGCATGGGAACCTCTCATCCAGGATCCCCCAAAGGGACAGTGGCAATGGCCCATTAAATAAAAAGTTCCTGCCAGGATATTTGCCTTTGGTTGTACTTGGTAGACCAAGATTTGGATGTATGGTGTGGAACTTTTAAATGTACATTTTACTCTTTGTAAATATTTATTTTTTCTCCCAGAGTTAAATGGTCAAGATCATCATATACTGTATTGAGCTGGATTTAGATGGATGAAATCAATTATAATACATAATGTGCACATATTTCTTGGTATCATTTAACCTTAGAAGATACTAAAACTTTCTATGCTTGAAATGCTTTGTGCATTTATAAATCTTAAATGCAGATTAAAAATACATACCTTTGGTGTTGCTGAAAATACAACTCAAACCTCACAAGACTTATTTTTAAAATTGCTTGTAGTTCACCTTATAAAGATTCATTTGCACTACCAACCTTTTTTGTATTTGTATTAGTAAGACTTGTAATTGATGAATTGAAAAGTAGAAAGATGAGTTTTTCCAACTACATTTGATTAGCATGTCATGGAGTGCCACTTAAATTTTTTTTTTGTTTTTTTTTAACCCATTCGCGCCGGGTAAAAATGAACAAAAAACGGGGGAAAATTCTGTGCTCATTTCTTATACTTTTTATGAAATTTTTCTACACTAGATGGCTCTGCCTTACCTGATTTCATTTGGCGGGAAAATGTATTTTTACTAGTACAATGAATATCGATGGTTATTTTTATTATAAACATTATAATTACTATAATGTTAGTAACAGCAAAGTAAGATAAAGTATATTATTTTCGTAAATTAAAGAAAAGGGTAAACAGTTCTTTAAATGTGTTACACGTACAGTCTTCCAGCAGGTCAGCATAGTATGGCATTAAAGAAGAGTGAGGGTTAAAGGTGAGTAAATGGGCTGCAAGGATGTCCATAGGGTATGGTAGGGATTGGCTAAAAGGAGAAAGGGAAGTTTAATGGCATTTAGATCAAAGTGCAGTTTCAAGAGAAAGGTCAGGAGTGAGAGAATCCATGAAAAGGATTTGTGACCAAAGAAGCTGAAGGTATACTGGAAGGAAGGGTGATGATACAGATAACGCAAGGGGAAAGGAGATGTGAAGCCATATGTTTGGAGGGAGTGGGAGGAAAGGGTATACGGGGAACATGAGGATGGATGTCGGCAATCACTTAGAGTGTATAGGGAATGGAAGCAGAGATTGGAGGATGAACGAAGCATAGGCATGTTATCTGGTGTCATGATTAAATAGTTTTGAATGTCCTCGACTGAAAAAAAATAAAGAACCAAGCATTTGTGTTAGTGTGATTTTAAACAAACCATTGGAAAACCAACCTCTTTAAAAATTCTTTTTACAATGCGCCCAGTAATGCTAAAATTGAAAGTTTTAATTAAACTAGAAGTATATGGGCAAGTAATTTACACATGGCAGTGCAATATATGAAATTCTGAATGAGTAGGACTGCATTATCAAAACTCACTCCACAAGTCGATCACCTCATTCAAGTTTATTACTTCAATATTTTTAGTGTGCTATGAAGAGTATTAGCCAGGTTCTTTCTTACAAAGAGAAGAGCATTGAATTTATGGCATTTGCCTTATCTTCAAGTAATTCATTGGTGTTATTACCAGGTATCATTCAATTATACATGATTTTCGGGTAACCAAAATGACTTGCTTATACCAACTGTCAATCCATAAAGTCGAAGTCTGCACAGTAAGAGCAAGATCCTGCAAATATCAAGACAAGTTAAAGAAGTAAAGTAGGTTGTAAAACAGCAGACACCAAAGACATCATAAAAATGAAACTGGCTTTGGTTAAGCAAATGTACAATTTTAATTTTATTTAACAATGGTATTTTTTCTCCATTAAAGATTATATAGCACTATAAAAGTTATTAGTGAAAAGGGTAAACAGTTCTTTAAATGTGTTACACGTACAGTCTTCCAGCAGGTCAGCATAGTATGGCATTAAAGAAGAGTGAGGGTTAAAGGTGAGTAAATGGGCTGCAAGGATGTCCATAGGGTATGGGAAAATGGCAAAAGGAGAAAGGAAAGTTAAAGGCATTTAGATCAAAGTGCTATTTCAAGAGAAAGGTCAGGAGCAAGAGAATCCATGGAAAGGATTTGTGACAAAAGAAGCTGAAGGAATACTGGAAGGAAGGGGGGGTGATACAGATAACACAAGGGGAAAGGAGATGTGAAGCCATATGTTTGGAGGGAGTGGGAGGAAAGGGTATACGGGGAACATGAGGATGGATGGATGGATGGATGTCGGCAATCACTTTGAATTTAGAGGGAATGGAAGACATTGGTGTTATTACCAAGTATCATTCTTATATACATGATTTTAGAGTAACCAAAAGGACTTATTTATACCAACCGTCAATCCATAAAGTCGAAGTCTGCCCAGTAAGAGCAAGATCCTGCAAATATCGAGACCAGTTAAAGAGGTACAAGTAGGTTGTAAAACAACAGACCAAAGGCATTATCATAAAAATGAAACTGGCCTTTGGTTAAGCAAATGTACAATTTTAATTTTATTTAAACAATGGTATTTTTCTCCATTAAAGATTATATAGCACTATAAAAAGGTTATTAGTGAAAAGGGTAAACAGTTCTTTAAATGTGTTACATGTAAAGTCTTCCAGCAGGTCAGCATAGTATGGCATTAAAGAAGATTGAGGGTAGAGGGTGAATAAATGGGCTGCAAGGATGTCCATAGGGTATGGGAAAATGGCAAAAGGAGAAAGGAAAGTTTAAAGGCATTTAGATCAAAGTGCTATTTCAAGAGAAAGGTCAGGAGCAAGAGAATCCATGGAAAGGATTTGTGACAAAAGAAGCTGAAGGAATACTGGAAGGAAGGGGGGTGATACAGATAACACAAGGGGAAAGGAGATGTGAAGCCATATGTTTGGAGGGAGTGGGAGGAAAGGGTATACGGGGAACATGAGGATGGATGGATGGATGGATGTCGGCAATCACTTTGAATTTAGAGGGAATGGAAGCAGAGATTGGAGGATGGACGAAGCGTAGACATGTTGTCTGGTGTCATGATTAGTTTTGAATGTCCTCGACTGAAATAGTCGGGTTGGGAGGTCTGAAAAATGATGGATTTCTTATGTGGTGGGAGAAGGCATTTAAGGGGCGGAGAAACAGGCTGATGTAGGAGGGGATGCGGCAGAAGATGGGGTGGAATGTTTAATTTGTCTTATGCTAGGAGTCAAGTGAGGAGGAGCAGCAGTAGGTTCCAGGGAGGTAGAGACTGGAGTGTCTGGATTTAGAATGGGGCAAAGAGTTTGACTGGGAGAGGGAGGGGGGTAGAAATGGGAAAAGGAAGAGATACTACAGGGCTATTAAATATCTTTAGGGGGAGGGATGGAGGAGGGAGAAAGAAAATCTCATCGGTGTGCTTCCTGTCAAAGTATGAATCAGAGAATTACCACTTGTAATCAGGGCAACCACTGTAAAATACATTATGCGAACCTCCACAATCACCATAATTGGCACATGTGCGTTACTGTGCAGAGCAGTTTGATCAATCAAGACCAGGTGGGAACAAAGAGGTCATCTAACTGTGTGGAGGCAGTGTTTGGCATGGTGGTCTAGATGCCAACAGTTCTGACATTGACGGAGGGGGGGATAGGAGTCATGTCTACGGAAAATAATCTTGGTAATATTGGTGGAGGACTTATGGAGGGGCCTCTGGGGGGAATGATGTAACTTTGTACTGATACTGCATAATAGTCAACGAGATAAGCAAGCAAGTCTTCTCCACAAACTAACAAATCCTTGTCGTAAACAGGGTAGTCTACTGGGAAGATAGAAACAGTTCCAGTACAAGAGGGATTGAGGCTGGACTGGAGTGGATGTTCCGGTGAAGTCTGTTCATAATGCTTTGGCTCGAGATTCAGATGTAAGGCGGAAGGAAACTGCCTACTTGCTTTCAGAGGCATTGCTGAAAGAGGAGAGTGTTGTCAGCATAAGGGACTGTAGAGATCACATCGACCCCATTTGGCTGGGCAAACCGTACTCAAAAGATTTGTAGTGATGGGGTACAAGGACGGCCCTTGTGGGAGAGAGAGTGGTGTTGAGTTTAGCACTGCAGAGAGGTGGACAATAAAACTGAAGAGTAGTAAGAAGATGAAGACTGTGGAGTTGGAGGAAATGTTTGGAGATGAACGTTTTATGCAGCCTGAGCAATAACCTGGGTGGGTAACTTAGACTGTACTTAGGTGACAGTAGCACTGATGTAGTGGTAGTAGTTGTGTTCAGAGTCGTCAAACGAAAGCCTGGTGTCAGGAAACTGGGGGAAAATCTGTGGGACTAGTTGATAAATGGTTAATGGTTAAAAGCAAAACAAATGTGCTAGATTTCTAAGGTCATGCAGCACTATAGGAAGATATAATAAAGGGTAGTAAAAGGGGGTGAGTTAGTAGTATGTTGTTATACAGGTGTTAATAAAGACACTGGATTCAGGAGGGAGGGGATATTTGAAAATTGGGAAGTTACTGCCAAACGAGCACTGGTGGTGAATTTGGAACCATCAATGTAAATATGAATACTGGAGGAACGAGTGGAGATATGGTCAAGGAAATGGGTGATAAGAACGGAAGGGGTATCTGGGACCTGATCTGAGCCCCAGGATATATGGGTGTGCCTGTAAGAGCCGGAAATAGCGGCGAGCCTTTTCTTTAATGTCAAAAATTTGGTCTGGCCGGGACAATTTGGAGTAAAAAAAATGCAAAGAATTTTGCAAAAGAGCGGAATTAGAGTGGAGTGCCATACACGAAGAGTGGAGGCTGAGGACCTACACATGCGTGAAAGAAAGGGATGGAGAAAGATTTGGAGGTAAAAAAGCGAAAGCCATGGTTAGTGGCCCAGGAAGATACTGATATTGCATATCGAAGGAATTACCGGAGTAGATGCAGTTGAGGCGAAGATGGTTAATTCAAACATATGATGATGAGATGGCTCCTGGTGGTAGAACGGAGACAATGTCATTAACAGCAAGAAGGGGTAAGGTGCTGAGCACACTACTTTGCGGGACACCTTCGGAATGAGGAAAAAAGGATGTGGGAGAAGCAATTTTGACCTGGAAAGTGCATTTGAAGAAGGACTTTATAAAGACACCCATGCTTCTGCGTATGCCTAAGGAGGACAACTGTTGGAGAATATGGTACCATCATGTGGAACCACACTATTTCTAGCTCAAAGAATAAGGCTAATACAGAGTCAT